TCATCCCTTTGAAAAGAAAGGACATCTTCCTTTGAACAGTTGTTCCAGCTTTTGTGACTTGTAGCTTACATTTGACCTAAAATGAATACATTTCAAAATGGATATTTTCTTCATTTGTTTTTGGCCACATCCAACTGTGCTTAGGACTTTTTCCTGGCTCTGTGCTAGGGGATTACTCCTAACTTTGTGCTCAGGGATCATATGCGGTGCCAAGGATCATACCAGAGTCTGCTGAGTACAAGGCAAATACCTTAACCCCTATACTCTTTCTTCACCCCAAAAATGAAATTTTTATGATGTATTTTTTTAGTTCCCAAAATTAAAAGGCTTGTGGCAAAAAGAATATATGTAAGATAAGGTTGAATTTCTCTCATTGCTCCAACACTTAATATCAACTGTCAGTATGTACTATGTACTATTTGGCCAAAGAATTGGTTTTTGACACACACAGGTGACATTTGGCAGGCTGGGAAGAAGCTCTTAGGTAAATACCAGTCTAAAATTGAAATGAAATTGGGCCAGTTAGCAAACAGATAATAAATAGAATCCACAAGGCAGAAAGATTGGGGTGTGGGGTTGCCCTACCCCCTGGTAGGAAAGAATTTATAAAAACATTCTGCGGGTACTGTTGAGAGCTCCTCCATGTGAAAGCAAAAGCTTGAACAGCCCTTGCACATTATTTTTCTTCTCAACAGGTAGGGTTGCCGGGTAAAACGGGACAGTACTTATGACATTCTACCAGAAAAAGTTTTTACTGTTGATCAGAGCTTCAGACTTAGCTTAGACAGTCTGCCTTTTAATTCATCAACTCTAATCACCACAAAAGCAAGCATGGACGTTTCTGCCACCCAGCACTGACAGATTGTACTCGCCAGTAAGATTCTCCCTGAGAATCTTCCCTGCCAAATAACCAAACAATAGAGCTCTATACAAAAACAGCTACAGCAGTACAGGTACTAAAACTCAGCTCATAAGATTGGCCTGGTCCAGCCCAAAAGATTCACGTTAGTCCAGACTGAATTAGGGATGTAATTGTTCTTTCCTCATCTGCCTTGTGGCAATTGAGTGACACCATTCTTATTGTAACTAGTCACTGTTTTCAGTTTTTGGGTTTTTGTTTTGTTTAGTTTTGATTAGGATTTTTTGTTTTGTTTAGTTTTGATTAGGATTTTTTGTGTTTTGTTTAGTTTTGATTAGAGTCTTTTTTTTTTTGCTTGTCTTCTATTACTTAATCATTGAATGTTATTCTAGAGCATAACTCTGCAGACCAAGCAAGGCTATTTCAGTCTGTGGTTTTCCAGTCTGTAGATGTAAAAAAATTGAAGCCACTAACTTAAGTCGCCATCTGCATCATTTTCCCTTGGATTCACTTAAAGGCAAAGTGATCACAACCTTCCTTGGTCTCACTCACATCCAGCAAGTGTGTTTCTTACCTGTGGTACACATTCTGTGTCCTGCGCTTTTTACCCCCACGGGTGTTTTTCTTCTTATCTGTAAGGTTGATTCAAGATCCCTTCAAAGCATGTTCATCAAAGGAAATTCTGCATAACTAGATGTTAAAGTATCCCAGACTCCCCCTTTATGAGCTCAGGAACACGGGACATGCAATAATGAAGCAGTGTTTGGTTGCTATATGGTTACTAACTTTTCATACAACTTTTTACAACTGCTTCTAAGAGAGCCTCAGAAACTGTTAAGGAAAAGATCCAAGCACTCTGGACTTTTCCTGCTCTATAGTCTTTCTTTCCTCCACCTCTTGTCACCTGCATTCAAGTTACTAAAAAGTCCTACACCTTCTCAGTTCCTTCTGCTTTTGCATTATTGCCATGCATCCCACAGTAAAAGTAGGAGCTGCATCTTCTTTTATGACATCCCTGAGTTTGTGAAGAAGAGGGCCACCAGGAGACCTACACCTTAGCAAATAAAACACTGGTGTGTGTGTGTGTGTGTGTGTGTGTGTGTGTGTGTGTGTGTTTGAGCCCTGGGCCTCACACCATGAGGAAGTGTTCTACTGCTGAGCTATATACCTGACCTCATAAAACCCACTCTTTCTACAATGCATTTTCAAAAGTTGGCAGAAATGGCAATGTCAACAATTCACTCCTTGCTGCCAAAGTAGACAATGCAGTCACACCCTGGAAGAGCTATTGTTTTTACCTTTGGGCCATGTGGCTGCATTTCAGAGGGAGTGAAACTCCCCAAGGAAGGTCAGTGCAAGTTCTTTGGGGAAAGACATCACCATGGAAACACAGGTCGAGGGTATGTTGGATTAGATAAGCAGAAAGAGAAGGCAAATCAAATAGTACTGGAACAGTGGGTGAAGTAAAGCTCAAAAGTTTCCAATCAGAGCCAGGTTAGGGCTAGAGAAACAGTTCCGTGGGCTGAGCATCTGCTTTGCCTGCAGGAGACCTGGGTTCCATCCCCAGCACCACATGGCCCCCTAAGTCCCCAGGAGCAACCCCTGGGCACAGAACCAGCAGTAGTCCCCAAGCACTGCAGGGTGTGACCTCCAATCACAATCACGACCATCCTGTTGGTCGATTGCCTCGAGCAGGCCCCAGTAGATTGCCTCGAACAGGCCCCAGTAACATCTCCTTCATCCTAGCCCTGAGACTTTTTAAAAAGTGCCATATTCAAGGCTTTTTCAGGGTTAGGAGAATGAGACCCATCATTGTTACTGGTATTTGGCATATTGGGTACGCCACGGGGAGTTTGCCAGACTCTGCCATGTGAGCAGGTTACATTCGGTAGCCTGCCAGTTTGTCCAAAGTACGAATGAAATAGTAAGATGTTGTGCGGCCACAAATGCGGCTGCACGGTTCTGGGAGCTGGGTTTTATCATCTCTGAGTCTTGGTCATTGATGGGATTACACGGCGCCTGGGAGGCCAGTTGGTGGGTGTGACCCCTGCCTACTGGAATTTGGCAGATCTGGGTGGAGGATGCTCAGCCCCGATCCAAGCAGGCTTGGAGATCTCAGCCCCGGGGGCCCGCATGCCTTTGCTCCTCTGCCAGTACCTTCATGCGTATGGAGAGTGGTCTCAGCATGGTGGTGGCTGGTTCTGGAGGTTTTCGGCTGCTGGAGCCCTGGTCAGAGCGGGGAGGGAAACTCAACCCGCTCCCTCCAAGGGGCCCTGGCGAGGACTGCCAGGTGTGGGGGCAGGAGACTCTGCACTGTTCTCTTCCGGGATCTGGGTTTTATAGTCTTCTTTTTTGAGTTACCTGGAAAAAAAAAAGAACTTTTCATGTGCCATCAAATGTTTCAGAGCTGGATTTTTTTTTTTTTTTTGGCAGAGAAAAACAATTCATTACTCTAAAATTAAAAAATACAAGCTAGCTATCAATAAATGATAAATTATATATCTATAAGATATAATGATTTTTGTTTTAACTGAACATCTACAAGCATGAGGCCAGAGCAATAGTTCAGCACATAGGGTGCTTGCCTTGCATGTGATCTACCCAGGTTCAATCCCCAGCACCCCAATATGGTCCACTAAGCATCATCAGGAGTAATTCCAGAGTGCAGAGGAATAAGCCCTAAGCAATGCTGGTGTGCTCTCCCCCCCCCCAAAAAAAAACAAGATTATTTTTGATATAAGAATCCCCATATATAAAAGTGTCCAGAAATCATAGCCAATCATCTATGAAGTGATTAAGTGTGTTGTTCACAGCCAAACAATGTATAAGGGAAAACCGTATAAATATTTTTAAATTTTTTATAGGAAAATATTTAACTGAGAAGTGAGTATATTTTAAAACTTTTAGTACAGTATGGAACAGGGTCTCCAAAAGTGTCTTAGGCATGTTAAGCGTTTCAAACCTGAAACAAATAATTGTGTTGGTCAGAACTTCTGACTTCTGGCCCTTAAGGCCCCCAGTGGGGATTCCAGACCAGCAAGCTTTTTCTCATTAGCACCGAGACTAATTGCACACAACCAGCGCTTACACACACCACAGAAATTCCTGAGCTCACCAGCAAATGTAAATAAAGGGCAAATGAAGTGGATCTCTTTCTGAACTTCCACATTCGTGAATGGTCTGTGTCTGGCAGTTGTCTTTGGATTTTAGAAAAGACATGAACTCCCCTAAACCGGAAACTCCCATGATGCTTTGAGTCACACTCAGGCCCTGCTTCATGGTCTCCCAAATTCCTTCCTGAGGGAGGTTCTTTCACCCTCAGCATGCTAGCCCCACCCCATCTTCCTGTCAGGATAAAGTTTGGGTAAACTATTCAAGAAGCAAGATCAGAATTCAGGGTCTGAACATGTAGAAGAGGAAGGTGCAGCCTGCCAACCTTTGAAGTTGAAGTTAGGGGGAGAGGGGCGAGGGTCTTGTGGAGATGTTGGAGGTAAGTACCTTCCATAAAGTGTCATTGAGTGTCATTGAGTGCCTCCAAGAGTTAATTATTATTAAATTATAATTATGTATAAACACACCCCTCCCCCGTGCTTTTTTTGAGCAGTACTCAGGGCTTACTCTTGGCTCTGAGCTCAGAACTCACTCCTGGAGGGGAGCAGGGGCCATAAAGGGTGCAGGGGATAGAACTGGGGTTGATTGGACGGCAAGTGCCTAATTCTCTGATTCTCTGGCCCTCCCCACCTTCATGCCAAGGGTGAACCTAGGGCCTTTACATACAAGGCAAATGTTCTACCACTGAGTCACATGCCCAAACTTTTAACTCCATAACCCCTATTTCTGGTAGAAAGCAAGGGAAGTGAGGACCAAAGCAAACCAAGGGTTCTTCTGTGCCTTCCAGCACCATGTCTAAGCCTTCTTCATGCCACTGGTGTTTGGCCTAGGTGGGACTGCCACCATCTGACCCAGAGTAGACAGCAAGGTTCCCTGGGTTCTCTCCAGCTGATGCCCAAGGCCCTTCTGCAGCCTGGAACAGAGGGGCATCCCAGCTTTCTTTGCCAGGCCCAGAGTGACCTCTGACCACCCCCTCAATCCCCCTCTCCCCCCCCCCCCCCCCGCCACTGACCCTCTGCCTTGTTTGCAGCTTCTTGGCTGTTACTTTGAAGCCTACCAGCATGCCCTGGACCCAGAAGAGAGGTCTGCCTTAGCGCAGGTGATCACCGATGTCATGCACAGGCGGCCCAAGTTCGATCTCCGCCACTCCTACTTCATCAGGGCTTACCAGGATGAACAGGCCTGCCTACAGCTAATGCTGCAGCTCGTGAGGGGCATCCTTAACCAGCAGGTAAGCAGGGCCAGGCTTTTAAACAGGTCTTGGGTGACAAGAAATTCACAGCACAATATTGCATGTACAAAGAAAAATTGTGTTTTCTTTTCACTGTGGTCCAGAATCAGATCAGAGTTTGCTAGGGTAATATGGGCAGTATAGCTTTCTTGTTTATTTTTATCACTCTGTGTCTGTGGTGGTGGTGGTGGTGGTGGTGCGGTGTGTGTGTGTGTGTGTGTGTGTGTGTGTGTATGTGTGTGTGTGTGTGTGTGTTGGGAGGGTGTGGGGGGGGGTGGAACTGCAGGGCACAATAAAGAGTGTTCAGGGTTTACTCCTGGCTCTGTGTTCAGGAATCACTCCTGGCAAAGTTTGGGGGACCAAATGTGGCACTGGGAAACAGATCTGCAGTGTGCAAGACAAGTGCCTTGACCCCTGTAAATATCTCTTCTATCCAAATAGTTTTATTTATTTATTTTTTTGCTTTTTGGGTCACACCTGGCGATGCTCAGGGGTTCCTCCTGGCTCTGCACTCAGGAATTACTCCTGGCGGTGCTTGGGGGACCATATGGGATGCTGGGAATCGAACCCAGGTCGGTCGCATGCAAGGCAAATGCCCTACCCGCTGTGCTATCACTCCAGCCCCCTAAATATAGTTTAAAAAAAATTTCTCATCCTAATTGCATGTATTGGTCAGCAAAGAATCTATGAGCTACGTTCACTAAACAATCATTTATCTGCACCAAAAAAGGATGAATTATAATCCCTTTTTTAAGATATTCATGTATAAAATTCTGTCTATATTAATATAGCTACATAATCATGTTTCTGTGTTTAAGTGTTCCTAGGACACTGAAGGAGATGATCATAATATGTGTCCTTTGGGGTAAAGGTCGTTGTAGGAAGGAAGCAAGAGATAAAATAATTGCTGCAAATTTAGCTTAGTCCTGTTAGAGTTGTTTTCTGGTGGTCATATATTTCACTAAAACATTTCCTTCTGCCTCTTAAAAAGGAAGTTGAGTACCTTTTCTTTTCTTTGACTGTGATGGGAAGATGGTCCCATAAAATGAGACATGAGCAAAGAACTGATGTTCTTCTGCCAAGGCTCGAGTCTGACATCCATGGGAAAGTTTGGCTTTTCTAACTTTTACTTTTACGCTACTTTTCTAGATAGAGTGTCAGCGGGAGTATGTCCAGAGGCTTTGGCGAGAAGATGATACAGATGACAGCGATAAGTTTGGACTGCCATTGAACATCATTCGTCAACAACTTATTTCCATCAACAATAGCTGGTTAGTTGTCTTTAAACATTTCACATTTATTCCTCTGGAAGGCTTAAGGGTATAGTTTTAAGTCTAAATACTATTCTCCAGAGCATCTCACAAGTATTTGAGGAGATGAGAGAAGTAGATATGAAAGCATGCAAGGGAAATGAAAGCATCCTCAGGAAAGGATTTCCCTTGCATGCTCAATACCTGTTTGTTTTGTAAGCAATAAAAAAGAGACTACAGAGGTTCAGATACTTGCCTTGTGCACAGCTCACCCAGGTTCAATCCCTGGCACCCCGTATGGTTTCCTGTGCCCCACTGGGGTGATCCCAGAACACATATCCAGGAATAAGTCCTGAGCATTGCTGGGTTTCTCTCCTCAAATAAAGTTAAATAAAGAATAGTTGGCTACTGAGATACCGTGGACAGAACCAACTGGGGCGAGCAGCACAGAACCCTGAAGGACAAAGGGACAGTAGTGGAAGGGTAGTGACACGGTGGCATTAATGATACTTCAGTAAGATTTTTGGGTTTTGGCGGTCCTGCCAGGGATTTGCAGGGACTATTCCCAGTTCTGTGCTCAGGAATGACCCCTAGCCATGGTGAATGGGGTCAAACCAGGGATGGCTACATGCAAGGCAAACACCTTAACTCCTGTACTGTCTCTTGGTAAATAAAATTTTTAAAAAATTTTTTAAAAACCTGAGTAACAAAAATAGTTGGCTAGAATTTTAACTTTTGCCATTGGGTACAGAATCTAATTCCTTGGGGGAAATCATGAACAACAGCAGTTGCTCTTGAAATGCCATCAGAGGATTTAAACCAGAAGTGTCCCTCAGCTGACATCTCTGCAAGTAAGACGTGCGCAAAAGTTTCTCAGAAAAAAATTTACTTATTCTGGCACTGAAAAGCTTTCTGCAGCCTCACCTTGTGACCTCACCCCGCTAAGAAGCAGATCCATTTCCCAGAATGAAGTGCAGAGAGAGTACATGCTTTAGTCATCCTCTCAGCATCTCATGTGCCTCCCCCTCTCCCTTCCAGCCTCTGAGGGGAGAGAAGGAACTGGGAAGGAGGTGCCACATCTCAGGCCGGTCTGTGCAGCTCAGGGTCACACTGTCGCTAGCCTCCAAGTGGGTGGAGAAATTTCCAAGCTTCTTTCAACATCCCGCAAATATTTGTTGAGCACCAAGAAGTGTGTTAGAGGGTGAGGATGCAGTTCTGAACAACAGAAGCTTGGCCTTGTACGCATGCCCATGTCCAGTTCAACAGTGCAGCAGGCTGTCTAGAAAAAAAAATAGCTGCATCAGGCAATGGTGTCATCCTGGGCACCAGCAGACTGCCGTAGGATTTCATAGCTGACATTCTAATCCCGCGGCTTGAGAAAGATTCCTGGGAGTTTCCAGCACACAGGTGTATTTTCTTTCTTTCTTTCTTTCTTTCTTTCTTTCTTTCTTTCTTTCTTTCTTTCTTTCTTTCTCTTTCCTTCCTTCCTTCCTTCCTTCTCTCCCTTCATTCCTCCCTCTTCCTTCCTTCCTCCCTCCCTCCCTCCCTCCCTCCTCCTCTTTCCTTCCTTCCTTCCTTCCTTCCTTCCTTCCTTCCTTCCTTCCTTCCTTCCTTCCTTTCCTTCCTTCCTTTCTACCTTCCTCCCTCCCTCCCTTTCTTCCTTCCTTTCTTTCTTTTTTTCTTTCTTTCTTTTGAGGGGGGGGATGTGGGATTAGGTGGGTCACACCTGAGTAATACTCATTTCCACTCCTGGCAGTGCTCAGGAAACCATGAGATACTATGGATGGAACCTGGACCTCCTCGTGCAAAGCCTGTGCTCGCTCTCTTGCTCTGTCTCTCTCTGACCCAAGATTTCATTTCTCCACAAACTTTCTCAGGATTGATTTCTACACTGTAATAAACTTGAGACACCAGCTGTGTGTGTATGCAGCTATGGCAAACGCCTCCTGCTCAGGAAATGGTTTTTGGCAGAATTTGCAAGAGCTATATGGTTACCAAGAACTGTTGTCAGAGTCTCCAAAGCAAATAACATTTGCTAGAAGAGATTCCTTTCCAGTTGTAGATGGATTTTTTTAAAATCTTAGATCTTAAGGGACTGAAAGGAATCCCACTGTGTAGATCTAAGAAATATTTATGGTCTTTTATTTAATAGGTGCAGAAAAGACCCTTAACTTGGGCTGTGTCTTCTGTTTCCAGAGGATTGCTCACAGACAAGTGTTGTATTGTTTCTAGCCTCATCCATTTATAAAATATAGCATCCTTTTGGCAAATTAGAATGATTCCAGCAGTTCTATCCACAAATTAGAGATGGGGGAGGGGAGAAAGAGAAGGAATAAAGAAAGGTTAAAAAGAAAATAACCAAAGAAATTATTTTTTATATTTAATCATTTTAAAATTATATTGATAATAAATTAAAATTATTATGATGCCCTCCGACACCATGATGGATCTATCACATCTTCCAGAAGGGCAATGGAGAAGATTATTCATGACTTCTACTCAGATCTCTTTAATAGCCACATTCACTTGCCCACATACCACATACCACATGATGGATATGTCGTTCCCAATGTTCTCCCTTCCGAAATCCAACATGCCATCTCGTCAGTAAAGAAACAAAGAGCACCTGGCCCAGACAAGATCAGACCTGAACACCTGAAGAACTTGCCATCAGTACTCATCAATACATTGGCTCGACTCTTCACACGCTACCTGTCTGAATGCAAGGTTCCATCCCAATGGAAAACCAGCAGGACTGTACTACTATACAAGAAAGGAGACATTCACGACATTGGCAACTATCGCCCAATCTGCCTATTGTCTGTCATCTACAAACTATTCACTCGTGTCATCCTGAATAGGATTAGCAGAACACTAGATGAAGGACAACCATGTGAACAAGCTGGATTCCGAAAAGGATTCAATACCATCGACCATATCCACACAATAACCAAGCTCATTGAGGTATCTCGGGAGTTCAAGATGCCGCTCTGTCTAACGTTCATTGATTTAAAGAAGGCCTTTGATTCTGTTGAGACGGAAGCAGTCATGGAAGCCCTAGCCAATCAGGGCGTACAAACTCAATACATCAAGATCCTTCGTGAGCTCTATTGCAGATTCACTACCAAGATCTCACCATTCTACAAAGAAGTAATCATCCATATCAAGAGAGGGGTTCGGCAGGGTGATACCATTTCACCAAAACTCTTCAGTGCCACCCTCGAGAACATCATGCGACGACTGGAATGGGAAAGCATGGGAGTGAAGATAGATGGTCGGCAACTACACCACCTCCGCTTTGCTGATGACATCGTTCTAATAACACCAAACATCAACCAAGCAGCACAAATGCTGAACGACTTCGACCGTGAATGTGGAAAGGTCGGACTACAGCTGAATCTTACGAAGACAATGTTTATGAGAAACAGCCTTGTTCCTGACACTCCATTCGCTCTCAACGGAACCACCATCTCTGAATGCAACAGTTATATATACCTAGGTCGAGAAATCAACATGAAGAATGACCTGGCACCTGAGTTGCGCAGGAGGAAGAGAGTGGCTTGGAATGCCTTCAAGAGCATTGAAGAAATAACTAAAAGGACGAAGAAACTCCAGCTACGAGCACATCTCTTTGATTCCACTATTCTTCCTGCATTAACATATGCCTCAGAGACCTGGACCCTACGAAAACAGGATGAGAACGCTATTCGGGTCTCTCAAAGAGGAATCGAAAGAACTATGCTTGGAATATCACGATTCACTCAAATGAGAGATAGAATCCGAAGTTCTGATCTTCGTCAACGCTCAAGAATCAGGGACGCTGTCTCATTTGCCAAGACATCAAAAATCAGATGGGCTGGACACGTAATGAGGTTTACAGACAACCGCTGGACTAGAGCCATTACTGATTGGATTCCACGGGACATCAAAAGATCACGTGGACGCCCACCTATAAGATGGTCAGACTTCTTCGTCAAGACCCTAAATGATCGGTTTGAGGCTCTGCATGATCCTAGAACGAACAGATACCATTGGGCTACGCTAGCACGCAACCGGGATGAACGGAGACGTTACTGGCACCCGCTCGAATAAATCGATGAATAACGGGGATTAAGTGATTAAGTGAAGTGATTTGTTTTTTATTATTTGCCTAGAATGTAAGCACTCTTGTTAAATACAGTTTTAGAATTTTATTCTTTGTTGATGGGGGTGCTCAACTGGCCGTGCTCAAGAGTTAATGTTGGTGGTGCTTGGGAGGGATCGTGTGCTATGAAGAATCCAACTCAGGGCTCCCTCATATAAAGCAAGTGCTCAGACCCTTTGAGCCATCTCTCTGCCCCAGAGAGTCTGTCCTTAGGAGAGAGCATACCTGGTGGTGCTCAGGGCTTGCTCGTGTCTCTGTGCTCAAGGGTCTCTCCCAGCAGTGCTCAGGGGACTGTCGGGTACTGGGATTAAACCAGGCTTCCTGCATGCAAAGCATGAGCTCAGCCTGTTGGTTATCTCTTTAGTTCCGGCCTTCAGAGTCTTCTTATTAGACTCCAAGCTATATTCCTATGTCTTCCCATTGTGAAAGGGCTAGTATTAAAGCAAAGAGTATTTTGTAACCTAGTAGGTTCCCTGGATGGCCTCTTAAATATCTTTAAACTCTCAATATTTTGACCCTGGAATAAAAGTATTTTATATACATCTTTTAAAACATACAATATAAAACATACAATATAAAGATGTTTGGAAACAGACTGTGTTCTTTATTGTGCAAAATAGTGACATTAACTTTACCTCTTATTTAAGCCCAACTTTGAAAAACATTTATCTGCTGGAGTTCCACCCTTCCCTGGGGCTGGCATCACTCATCCCCAGAGCCCTTGAACACCTCCTTCAGGAGGCCTGCCATGCCTGCAAACCCGCATCTGCAGGCCACCTGGCCTTGCTGGAAAGACGTGTGCTTTGGCTGGCCCTGGAGGTGTGGCTCAGCCCCACCAACCCGGAGACCTGGTACAGCGCCCAACTCAGGAAAGATGTGAGTTCCCTGAAGGTGGGGCGTGGGTTCTTAAAAGAGAATGTTTCCTTCCAGATGTTACGACTTAGCCTCCTTGTCATATTTGGTTTCATATTCTGATTGGACCAGATGATTGATCATAGGCCTAAATCTTGCCAACATCTTTAGGTGATGTTTTAGTTCCTTCTTAGTCACTGTTTCTAGTCTATCAGTAAGTTACTACAATTAAAATAAAGAGGAGCAGGGCTGGAGTGATAGTACAGCAGGTATTTGCCTTGCACATGGCTGACCCGGGTTTGATTCCGAGCATCCCATATGGTCCCCTGAGCACCACCAGGAGCAATTCCTGAGTGCAAAGCCAGGAGTAACCTCTGTGCATCGCTGGGTGTGACTCCAAAAGCAAAAAAAAATTTTTTTTAATTAAAAGAGGAGCTAGCTAGCTAAAGGAACAGGGGAAATGTTTTCTGGTTTATTATATATAATATATTGTTGTATATTTTATTATTTATTTTCTGGATGGTAGTGGGGAGTTTGGGCCACACCTGGGAGTGCTAAGGGGCACTGCTCTGTTTGTGGGGAGCTCTTGCCTTGCATGTACTGATTCCAGTTCAGTTTCCAGGATCACACATGGTTTCCTGAGCTCCACCAGGATAATAGAGCCTGGATAATAGATCCCTGATAATACAGCCAGGAGTAAACCCTGAGCACTTCCAGGTGTGGTTCAACCCACACACACACCCCAAAAAGTAAAAATTACTTTTATTTCTTTAGTATTCCACCAATCACTGGAGCGATAGCACAGTGGGTAGGGTGTTTGCCTTGCACGCAGCTGACCTGGGTTTGATTCCTCTGTCTCTCTCAGAGAGCCCGGCAAGCTACCGAGAGTATCCTGCCCGCACAACAGAGCCTGGCAAGCTCCTCGTGGCATATTCAATATGCCAAAAACAGTAGCAACAAGTCTCACAATGGAGACGTTACTGGTGCCCACTCGAACAAATCGATGAACAATGGGAGGACAGTGCTACAGGACAGTGTTAGTATTCCACCGTGTGTGTGTGTGTGTGTGTGTGTGTGTGTGTGTGTGTGTTGAGGTAGGCTTAAAGTATAATTTTTCATGTCAAATTTCCAAACATTTATCTTATCACTATTTATTGGGGGGAATTTTTTTCATCTTATAATATGGTACCAAAAATTTCAAGTGAATTTTAAATTTTATTATCAATCACGAGTCTTTGAGATACTGCTCTAGTTCCCCCATTGATATTCCAGTTTTAATTATTATTTCTTTTGAAATGCATTCAAATTTAGACCTATACATGGTAAATATTCAGCTCAATATTTTGTATTAGCCTCTGAGCTCCCCCCACACACACTCTCCTATGAGTAGATATTTCCTTCAGAAGATAAAAAACAGCCCTCTAAAATATTGTGAGAAAAAGAAGAGCCCGCCAACACTGCACTAAATAAAGAGCGTTATTCAAGAACCTGCTTGCAGGTCTACAGCATGTGACTTAAAGTCACAGTTTGACAGAATTTATCAACAATGCTAAGTGAGACCTTCCTGTCGCTTACCCAGTCTATCACTTTGGGAGACTTCTAGAGTCTAGAGGTCTCAACCTCAAGGAGGCAAAGCTTACAGTGGATCAGTGGATCCTTCAGGGAGCTTGTTCATCCTTGGAGAACGAAACCAAAGCCAGTTGGGGGGCCCCAGAGGTGGTGCCTTAGACAGCGACAAAGATGTCAGAGAGGAGGAGCCCAGTGACCTGAAATATAAAAAATCATTGTCACTTCAAGTAGAGTATCATAAGCTCCCATGTAAAATGACAGGGTTTCTCCTGCTCCATCTATGTAGGTTGAGAAAGGCTGGGTATCCCCTCAGATCCCTCCCCGGGAAGCAGAGGCAGTGGCATCTGGAATACCTACTTCCTGGCAAACTTGCGACCATATGAATGAGTCCATAGATGTGAACATTCTTTGACATTTTGCAACCAAAGTCAGAGCGGTTTATAAGAATAGTTATTGTGACTTTAGTCATTAAAATACTTGAAGTATCTCAAGAACTTCTGCTTCTGTTTGGGTGGATTTTGCCTTTTCTATTTATTTTGGCTTAACCCATTGTACCACAACTAACATTTAATGCTGTAACCAGACCCTTTTGTTGATGGTGACTCACTTCACCCTCCTCACTGCCCTGTTAGGTGGTTATCAACCACCACTTCCTCTCTGACAGAGGCGTTCCTATCCCTAACCCTAGCAAAGAGGGGGAGGAAAGGGTTTGACAACAGAGTCTGTTGCCCCAAGTCTCACCACTTGTAGGTGGCAGTGCCCAGGAGAGCTGGATCCAGAATCAGGAAAAGTAGCAGTATTGTGATTTTCCCCAGAAACACCACTGTGTGTGTGTGTGTGTGTGTGTGTGTGTGTGTGTGTAAGACAGAGAGAGAGAGAGAGAGAGAGAGAGAGAGAGAGAGAGAGAGACGAAAAGCACCCTGTTCTCTTGCAGCTCTTTTCCACTAAAGTGATGGGCGACCCCTTTCTCGTCGGGGAGACGGGTCTGCTGGCACTCAAGTCGGCAGCCAACACAGGGCAGAGTCAAGGCAAACATTGTCCCGCGCTGCTCCTGGAGACGTTTTCCAAACTTCTAGAACTTTTGACGCTCCGTCACCGGCTGATAGAGATGAGTCTGGCCAGTGTACACTTAGCCCGGTCAGTGAATTGGGTGAACAGATGAGGGTGGGTCTCCTCCTGCAAGTCATCCCCTGGGGACCCCCCAAGACTGCCAAAGGGATCTTTCAAAATAGCTAAAGTCTAGCCTTGCCCCTTGCTCTATCCCCTTACTGGCTCCCTAGGGCCTGTCGGCTCACTCCTCCAGCCCTTTCAGCTCTATGCTGAGATACACAGTGTTGGTACTATCCATTTCTTCTCTCCCCAAGCCCTCAGAGCCCAGAAGCCTCATCCATGTTGTTCACCAGGCTGTCTGTCACCCTGTAAGAGGGCGCCCTACACCAGCACCTGGTGTGTGGGGATTGGATTTACTCTTGGATGCAATGAAGTTGAATAGCAGAGCAGAAGATGAGGTGGGGGTTCCCAGAGAAGGATTGCTTAGACTTTGGGCGTGTGTGAACCTTTTTTCCCTGAAACCTACAACATGGACAGTTGATTTTGAATTCATTTTTGCAGTTGCACATTCAGAAGACTTTTACTGCTGCCAAAATTTTCTGTGTCACACCAATGTCAAGACCTCGTGGTGGATGTGGGAGTCGGCATCCACACCTGAAGAAGCTGGGAGTCAGGGAAAGGAGACAGATAAGCCAGTGATGGTGTCCAGGCCAGACCAGCAGGGGCCAGGGAGAGGGAATGCCAGTGTGATCATGAGATGATGACAATGTGTATAAATGGTCACGCTACCCAGGCAGAAATCATGGAACTAGACTTTGTGGCGAACTCACAGGATGACTAGTGTTTTCTCCCCCCACCCCTCATGAAGTCCTGAAGATGAAGAATCCTCTCTCCCACCAATCATGACAGAGGCCTGTTATGGCTGGGCCCGTACGAAGATTTCCTATATGATAGCTCATTTATTCTCTGAACAAACTTACGAGGTAGCTTCCTTTCTAATCAGCAAAGCTGAGATTAATTATTTACCTAAAAGTCCATAACTGAAGAGTTCTAGACAGATTTCAAACAAGGAGTCAAGATAATATTGCAAGCTTCTTTGATACAACTTTGATACAGCTTCCCCAAAATTTCTTTTTTATTTTTTTTGGGGGGGCTATTCTGGGCTCTGTGCTCAGGAAGGACCCCTGGCAGTGGTCAGGAACCACATGAGATGCCAGGGATTTGAATCAGAGGTGGTGAGATGGAAGGCAAGTGCCTTAGCAGCTATACTATCTCTCTGGCCTCCCCTGCACCCCCCAAAATGTTTTATCCTTGCCTTCAGGGTGCTTGTAAGGTTAAAGTTAACTCTGTACTGTCACATGAACAAAAACACTGTAAAATCCCAGAACACGGATATTTCTCGGTGGATCATAAAAGGGATAAAAGGGATATAAAAGGGATATATAAAAGGGATATAAAAGGAGGAAGAGCCAGAAAACACATCATTATCATCATCATTCTATTTTCCCTTCCCTGGTATAAATATAAAAATGTTATAGATTGTATCCCCTCAATGTTCTTATGTTCAAGGCCTGGATTCCAGTACCTCAGAATGTGACCTTATTTGGAGACAAGGCCTTTGTAGAGGCAATCAATTTCAACTGAAGTTGTTAGACATACAGAGTATATGACTAGTGTCCTAATCAGAAGAATAAAACTGGACACACCAGAGAACACACTAAGTAAAGTCATAAGGAGAATATGGCACCTGTAAGCCGAGGAGAGTCAACATCCTTTCCTCTCAACCCTCAGAAGCTATGGGCCTGCCAACGCTGTGTCCTTCAGTGCTGAGGCCAAGTGTTGTTGTTTAAATCACACAGTTTAGGGCACTTGGTTACAGCAGCCAGCAAACAGGGTCAGACCCATTGTGTACCAACTTGCTGTGCCAGTTGCATGAAATGGAGAAGTTAAATGGGAATGGGAGAGGAGGGAAGACATAGGAAAGGCAGCCTTTCACCTTCAGACTTCTGAATGAAGCTTCATGACAAGCTGTGGAACTGTGGGAGTAGACCTCAGAGTTGAGAGAGAACAAAGATGGAGTGGCAGGTTCTTTTATAAGCATAAGGGAAGGGAGTCTTACAGTGGAGGGTGGAGTGCCATAGTTTCCAAGGAAGAGACAAAGATGCTCAGAAGAGGACGGTGTTTGGAACCTCAGGAAATACCAGGGATTGAAACAAGAGGAGATACCAATGAAGTGGTCATGAGGCCAGAGCATAGGGACCCAGGATTCGTGGGGAATGGGATTCCTCATGGGAGGGGCCAAGTGCCCAGCTGGGAAGGCTGAGAAAAGATGGTTAGGTGCTTGGGTTGAGGGAACTTTGGTGTTGAAATCAAATGTCACTGCCTGATGCCTGAGGAAGCCAAACACATCCCACTGGCTTTTGCAAGAAGGGAGTGGATTTATGGCTGGGAATGAACTTCCTTGTGAAGAAGGCACGAATAATGTTCACATCTACTGTGTTTCATGGAATTTGAGACAAATCTATCCCTTTGTTGCAGGGAATAGCTATGCAGTTAGGATAATCAGCTTCTATCTTGTCTATTTCTTGGAAATTATGAAGTGGGTTTTGAAACAAACAGAATGAAGACCTTGAGGAAAAAATAGAAAGTCTGGGGAAAATAGGATGATGATGATGATGATAATGATGTGTTTTCTGGCACTTCCTCCTAAAACAGAACTTGTAACAGGGTTTAGTTTCTTCTGGCTATTTTGAAAGTAAAAGGCAAGCAGGAATGGAAGTGGGGGAGCATTAGGGAGTCTGAATTTCTACTTGCTAAGCCTTCTCATGAAATAGTTGTTGCTTCTGCAGAGTAGTTCCTGAAAAACATGTGTGAACAAAGTGTGGTTGCTTTTTCTAATTCAATTTATCGATGTCAGGGAGCACTGCCCTTTTAGGACACAGGTTCTCAAACTTATGTGACCTACCACGCTCTTTTCAGGGAAAAAAAAATTACTCAGTGCCTATCTGGAGACTTACCTTCTTTTAGAAAACAAACAGAAAATGTCCCCTCTATTTTATCTCAAGTTATTAACATCCCTTGGAGGGTATACACATACACACACACACACACACACACACACACACACACACACACACAGAGTTTTGCTCACTGGAGAAGCAGCTATAGAGCCATGTCAGGTTGTCATGTCCCTTTAAGATCACATTTAAGATCACAGTTTCCGTGTCCTGCAGAGTCTGGAGAAGAGAAGCCAGCCTGCAGGAAGTGAGAGTGTTAGGAAGTACTGAAGCGTCTCCTCCTACCCGGACTACTATCTTTAACAACCCTTGCATAGAGCAGACACAAGAGCTTTGCAATGACTCATCTGCTTCATACCGGACTTGGCTTTACTCGTGTTTTGACTTTTGCTTTTGTGCTTATTCTGATGTTTTGGTTTTCTTACCACTGACTCTCCTTTCAGGGCAAATAATAGCAAATGTTCTTGGCTCTTTTCCCCCCCCTTTTAGTCTCTATAAAGAGCTGGCATGGGAGATGGGGTTTGAAGAGTTCCATTTGCATCTGAGACCTGTTCACTTTGAATTTGCATCACTCAAGGACAAGGCAGACTGTGCTTCCTCTGTCTTCATAACCTCTGTGCTGGAGGACAGTGACCATGTGGACAGGTGAGCCTTGAGAGGATCCAAGTGAAAAGGTAACAGTAAGAATGAATGAACAATACAAAATCATTTCTCTCACCACAGGCTACAAAAATCTTATTACAGTCTAAATTCTCTGCACAGTAGTTTATCTGCTGTGATGCTCTTCTTTCCCTGCCCTCCCCTTTTATTTTAATAAGAGGTAGAAAAAAATAAGAGGCGATCACATAGTCCATGGATTTGAATACAGCTAATCAGCAAAAGCAGCCTCCGTGCTGTGTAGTCTGTCCCAGCCATGTCTGGTCCTCCAAATAATAACCCAGAGATCCAGCAAGATCTGGAGAGGCCACAGAATTACACATCCAAGGATATTATGTCTTGAATTTGCATTTGTTTGATGTCTGTTCATTCCTTAAAGCTACCTCTCTAGACTAACAGATACAAACACATTAGAATGGCTTATACTTTAAAAGCAGAGGCATGCCCATTATTCTATAACCTTGCAAGAGAAGTGACACATCCAATTACAGGTAAAGAAACCAAGATAATAAGTGATCTGAGTTTCGGACAGAGGACTGCAGCCCAAGACAGAAATGTGGATGTCAGGAACATTTGGATGATAGCTGGGACCATGTGAGGCTGAAAACTGGGCAATATTTTGGGAATAAACATGGGAACCAGGTCAGTGAGGGGCCTGCACAGATGAGATAAAGAAGGTACGAGGAAAAGAGGAGTGGGCCGGAGCAATTTGTCTTGCATGCAGCTGACCTGGGTTCTACTCCCAGTGTCTCATATGATCCCCCAAGCATCACCAGGAGTGATCCCTGAGCAGAGAACTTGGAGTATGTCCTGAGTATTTCCAGGTGTGGGCTAAAATGCCAAATAGAAAAAAATAAAAAGAGGAAAACCACAGAGAGCAGTGACATGATGAGGAAAAGAGAAAAATTCCGAACACTCCAGAGTGGATAGTCACTGTAATCAATTTGCAAGGATGTCAAATCCCAGGACTGAAAAGACCCTGGGGTCCTTTGGTGGGGAGAAACATGTGCCTTTATAAAACCTATATTTTCTCTGATGTCCCACAACTCAGTCCTTGTCATTCTGTCCCATCAGAATGGCCATTTCTTGGCCAATTGCACAGCTCATCAAGACAATTTTGTTTCCTCTTGCAGATATGCTCCAACTACTTTCGTCTTAGCCATCTCTGAAGTAGATGATAACCAAGTGGGCAAATTCAGTTTCTGTACAAAAGAAGCCATTCTTAAGGTAACCTCCTGATTATTTTTTGAAAGAAATGGGGGTAAAAGACTGGGAAACTCCACAGGCTATGCTTGCTGGAGGCCAAGGTATGAACCCTGACACTGGTTTCTTAAGCACTCCAAGAAACAACCCCCAAGCACTGCAGAAGGTAGTTTCTGAGTACCTCCAAGTGTGGTCCCCAAACAAGCAAAAAGAAGGAAAAAGAGAAAAGAAACTATGGCAACATTCAGCAATGTGCTCATGTGTTCCTTACAAAATCAGCACATTTTATCTGTATTGCTTTGGCTGCCGTGTATAAGAAAATCTTCCAGCCTCTTAGATGATGAGTTTGCCTTATTGAAGTGCACACGGGTATGGCTCAAACCATAGGAACTAACATCTCTTGAAATAGCCTCTGTTAGATATTAAAAAGCACAGGTGGAGAACCATCTTTGGATCAAGGCATTAAAAGATGCAGCTGTCAGGCTGGAGAGATAGTACAGCAGGTAAGTGGCAGAGCCAGGAGTAAGCCCTAAACATCCCAAAGTGTGACATTCATCCTGCCCCCCTGCCCCTCAAAATACACTTGCCCTGGAGTTATTCTCTGATTATCTTAAATCAATACTATTTTTTCTCTGTCATAGACACAGATTTGTCCTTATGTATGCATGTATGCATTTATACTGCTTGTGTTAAACATTAATCTGATACTGGCACTTTGACAAGAGCCCGAAGCTGAGCCCATGTTTGTCAGTTCACTGGAGCTTAGTGAACCTTTTCCAGCCAGTGGGGAAGCCTGATTGTGTCAGCTGCAGAGCAAATGGGGAGGCCTGGAGGCTGCCTTCCTAGGGTGACAATGGCTGCTTAGGGCAAGCCCATGAGTCCACCCTGTGAGTGAGGAACAAAGCGGCGGGGCTCAGCATGGCCTGCAGAAAGACTCATTCATTCACATGTCGAACAAGTGTCAATCCACAGCTGACCTCTGTGGCGGAGAGAAATTCCTAACACAGTTCACATTTTCTTCCTCTAGCTCTTATTCCACTCAGGAGTGGAAAATATGCAAGTAGTCCTGGCGTGCCAAGCTGCTCAGAAGAATGCTTTGATGGTGGCCGTGCAGCAGGCATTCTCCTACCACAGGTCCCAAGGGGGCTGCCCTGCACATGTCAAGGTCAGCCTGAGGCTGCTGCCCCCCCCCACCTCCCCACTAGGCAGCCCCTTGAATCCCTTCTGCCTTTCCTCCTCATCCCTCTCTCCTTTCCTTCCTTCTCTTTCTCCATTTTCTTTTTCCCTGTATTTTCACTTTCTTTCTTTCTTTCTTTCTTTCTTTCTTTCTTTCTTTCTTTCTTTCTTTCTCTCTTTCTCTCTCTTTCTTTCTTTCTTTCTTTCTTGCTTGCTTGCTTACTTTCTTTTCCTCCCTCCTATATTTCTGAAGATCAGTAAACACCTTACTGGTCTCTTAATTGTCAATGGGTTGCTGATAATGCTTTGTTCATGATTCTAGAATACTGACAAATTAATATCCTCTAGCAGAAAATATTCTCTTTCAACTCCAACCCTTTTTGTACACGAATTGCTCTGTTGCTTTCTGTTGCATCCAATCTTGTATTTAATTTTGTAAAAGTAAGTGGTTACATTTGTCCCTTTTATTTTCCACAAAAACTAATACATGCACTATATTTAATATGGGCTGGAGTGATAGCAGAGTGATAGGGCATTTGCCTTATGCACAGCCAGCCTGGCCGAGCTGGGTTAGATTCCTCCGCCTCTCTTGGAGAGCTCGGCAAGCTACTGAGAGTATCTCATCCGCACAGCAAAGCCTGGCAAACTACCTGTGACGTATTCAATACGCCAAACACAGTAACAACAATACTCACGATGGAGATGTTACTGGGCCTGCTCAAGCAAATCAATGAACAACAGGAGGACAGTGACATATATAACATACACAAATAAAACATACATAAATAAACTTTATGTATATAAATTTATATATATATATATATATATATATATATATATATATATATATATTACCCCTTTCAAGGGTATCATGTAATCCTGAGAATTATCTGACTCCAGAACATTTCCATCCTCTGCAGTGAAATTCTGTGCTGAACCGAAGGGAAAACTCAACAATGCTGGCAAACATGCAGGCAACCCAAGTTTTATTTCCAGAACCACATGGGTCCCCAGCATTTCCAGGAGAGGACATCTGAGCACTGGATTCTGGAATATCCTCTGAGCACTGGCCCCTGCCCCCACACCACAAAACAAAATCCTATAGCCATTCATGGTCACTCCCCACTTCCCTCTCCCCTCACACTCACAACCAGGAATCTACTTTCTGTGACTATGGATTTGTTTATTCTGGATATTTCACACAGTGATATGATAAAACATAGAAACTCATCTGTCTAGACTTTTTCACTTTGCATATTTTCAAGTTTTGTTCAAGTCATAGACTATCACTACTTCTTTCCTGTGTTTTAAAATAGGCACCATACCCAGCAGTGCGACTGGGGCAACTCCTGGCAGTGTAAACCTAAAGAGTCTGGCTTACAAAATGGGTATAGAGGGGACTTTCCTCAACATAGTTAAAGCCATCTACCACAAGCCTACAGCAAGCATCATCCTCAATGGGGAAAAACTGAGAGCCTTCCCTCTAAGATCAGGGACGAGACAAGGATGCCCACTCTCTCCACTGCTGTTCAATATAGTACTGGAAGTACTTGCAATAGCGATTAGGCAAGAAAAAGATATTAAGGGCATTCAGGTAGAAAAGGAAGAAATCAAGCTCTCACTATTCGCAGATGATATGATACTCTACTTAGAGAACCCAATAACCTCCACCAAAAAACTCCTAGAAACAATAGACTTATATAGTAAAGTTGCAGGCTATAAAATCAATACCCAAAAGTCCATGGCTTTCCTATATGCAAACAGTGAGAGAGAAGAAAGCGACATAAAAAAAAACAATCCCGTTCACAATTGTGCCCCAGAAAATCAAGTACCTAGGAATCAGCTTAACTAGGAAAGTAAAGGACATGTACAAAGAAAACTACAAAACGCTACTTCAGGAAATAAGAGAGGACATGAGGAAATGGAAAGATAACCCCTGCTCATGGGTCCGGAGACTTAACATTGTCAAAATGGCAACACTACCGAAAGCATTGTATAAATTCAATGCAATCCCTATAAGGATATCCATGACATTCTTCAAAGAAATGGAGCAAACACTCCTGAAATTTATATGGAACAATAAGCCCCCACGAATAGCTAAAGCAATTCTTAGGAAAAAGAAAATGGGAAGAATCAACCTCCCGAACTTCTAGCTCTACTACAAAGCAGAAATAATTAAAACAGAATGGTACTGGAACAAAGGCAAAACTGCAGACCAATGGAACAGGGTTGAATATACTGACATCTCCCCTCAATAATATAATCATCTAATCTTTGATAAAGGTGCAAAAATGTGAAGTGGAGTAAGGAAATCCTCTTTAACAAATTGTGCTGGCATCACTGGACGGCTACATGCAAAAAAAAAAATGGGCTCAGAACTCTGCCTACCATCGTGTATAAAAGTAAGATCAAAATGGATTAAAGACCTCAACATCAGACCAGAAACCATAAGGTACATTGAAGATAAAGTTGGCAAAACCCTCCATGACATTGAAGCTAATGGTATCTTCAAAGATGCCACGCCACTGGCCGAGCAAGTGAAAACAGAGATAGATAAATGGGATTATCTTAAACTAAGAAGCTTCTGCACCTCCAAAGAAACAGTGACCAAAATACAAAGACAGTCTACAGAATGGGAAAGGATATTCACCAAATACACATCTGACAAGGGGTTGATATCCAGGATATACAAAATACTGGTTAAACTCCACAAGAAGAAAACATCCAACCCCATCCAAAAATGGAGCAATGAAATGAACAGAAACTTTCTCAAAGAAGAAATCCGAATGGCAAAAAAGCACATGAGAAAATGCTCTACATCATTAATCATCAGGGAGATTCAGATCAAAACCACAATGAGATACCATCTCACACCTCAGAGACTGGCCCACATTCAAAAGAACAAAAGCAACCGATGCTGGCGTGGATGTGGCGAGAAAGGGACACTCCTTCACTGTTGGTGGGAATGTCGACTGGTTCAGCCCTTCTGGAAAACAGTATGGACGATTCTCAAAAAATTAGAAACTGAACTCCCATTTGACCCAGCAATACCACTCCTGGGAATATATCCCAGAGAGGCAAAAATGTATAGTCGAAGTGACATCTGCACTTCTTTGTTCATTGCAGCACTCTTTACAATAGCCAGAAACTGGAAGAAACCTGAATGCCCAAAAACAGATGACTGGTTAAAGGAACTTTGGTACATCTACACAATGGAGTACTATGTAGCTGTTAGAAAAGATGAAGTCATAAAATTTACATACAAGTGGTACAACGTGGAAAGTATCATGCTAAGCGAAATGAGCCAGAAAGAGAGGGATAGACATAGAAAGATTGCATTCATCTGGGGGATATAAAGTAACAAAATGCGAGATTAATACCCAAGAATAGCTGAGATCAGCACCAGGAGGATTACTCCATAGCCATAGCTTAGAGGCCAGCTGGGCATTCTAGGGGAAAGGGCAGCTCAGATAGAGAAGGGAGCACCAAATAAAGGGTGTTTGGAGGATCCTCCCAGGAGGGGAGATGCATGTTGAAAGTAGACTATGTACTGAACATGTTTGCCACTCAGTGCCTCTTTTGCAGACCACAACACCCAAAAGAAGAGAGAAAACAAAAGGGAATGCTCTGCCACAGAGGCAGGGTGGGGTTGGGGGGGTGGGAGCGATATTATCCATGGTGGTGGAAAGTGGGCACTGATGGAGGGATGGGTATTTGATCATTGTATAATCGAAACCCAAGCACAAAACATTGTAAATCTACAACTGTACTTCATGGTGTTTCACTAATAAAAAGAAAAAAAAGAGTTTGGCTTAGGATCAGGGGTACTGGGAAGCCTCCCTGACTATCCTGGCTGATGCTGGGGCCACAGGATCATGCACTGCTGAGGACTGAAATTGAGGTCACACACACATGCTGGCAAGTGCTCTATCACGTTAGTAATTTTCTGGCCCAGTGATTCATTCCTTTTCACTGATGAGTAATACTCCATTAAAAGGGTCTACCACATCCCTTTATTCATTCATCAATTCACAGAGAGAGGACTGTTTTTACTTTTTGGTTATTATAAATTCTGCTGCTGGGAACATGTCATCAATAAGGTGATTTTGGTAAGGAGATATGTTTTTGAGTACTGGTGGATGTCACTGTCACTGTCACTGTCCTCCTGTTGTTCTTCAATTTGCTTGAATGGGCCCAGTAACTTCTCCATTGTGACAATTGTTACAGTGTTTGGCATATCGAATACATCACAGGTGGCTTGCCAGGCTCTGCCGTGCGGATGAGATACTCTCAGAAGCTTGCCGGGCTCTCCAAGAGGGGCAGAGGAATCAAACTCGGGTCAGCCATATTGGCTGCGTGCAAGGCAAATGCCCTACCTGCTGTGCTATTGCTCCAGCCCCACTGGGGATGTTGCAAGTGTAAAATCTTATATGGGTTTTGGAAACCACCTTTCCAACTGTCTATAAATATCCTTTAAGCTCATCATATTTATCAACTGTTCTTTATCTCTTTCTACTCTTCATATTAATAGGATCATTCAAATGCATGAGTTTAACAAGATTATTCTATCTCTACATCTACTGCATTAATACTATTGAAATCAAGAGTAAAATACGGAGAGGGTAAATTGAATTTCTTTGAATTCTGCCTCAAAAATCTTAATTCAGTACCCAGCTGTAAATTAAGCTCCTCAAGTAACAATGAGGTGCAATTCATGATCTCAAGGAGGTTGTAGATTAGTGTGTATTAGGGGAACAGGCCCAAATGCTAAAAGTCCTGCATAGGAGAAAGCGTTGGGAAGCATTTGAGAAATATCCTATAAAGACAAGAAGAGACACATTAGCGTAGTGTGTATATGTGTGTGTGTGCATGTGTGTGTGCGCGTGCATGCGTGCGTGTGTAAGTGCATGTGTGTGTATGTGTGTGTGTGTGTGTGTTTACAAGCTCTCCTAAAACTGTGAGACAAGAAGGGCACTAATGACATCATAAGAATTGAATGATGATATGGATTGAAGAAAAAGGAAGGTAAAGTGGGAGGAAGAGAGGAGAGTTTCAAGAAGAAATGAGTCACCAGAGAAGATAAACAGATAGTGGTTAAAAAGATAAAAATGTATAGTGTCATTAGTCATTAGAAAAACAAATTAAAAGCTCAGCAAGAAGTCACTTCACATCCATTAAAATGATTAAAATTTTAAAGACTCACCATTGTGGGTGCTGGCAAGGATGAGGAGGGTTTGGAACTCTCATAACCAACTGATGGTACAATCACCTCCGAAAACAACTTGCAGTCCTCAGTATTTATCCAAAATAAATGAAAGCACATGTCCATTCAAAGATTTGTACAATAAAACTGCTACATTTGTGTTTGTAGCTGTTTTATTTAAGACAGCCAAGAACATGAAATGACTCAAATATCCATTAGCAGATGAACAGATGAATAAATGGTGACATTTCCATATAAAGAAATGCTGCCAGCAGTCCACAGAAATGAGCCATAGGTATAGACAACAAGATGGTAGACAACAGACCAAAAAGAGTACACGTGGCACAATTCCATTTAGATAATATCTGCACTGATGCATTCCAACCTGAGCTGCAGAAAGTAGGGTGATGGCTACTTGAAAAAGGGGGCAGAGTAGGGAGATGGCTGTGGGCTGTGTGGCCGGGGTCCACAGCTATGTACTATGACCAAACACTTCACATAGCTGCTGCTTTATGTGTGTCGGTTATAGCCTAATAAGACAAATGCTTTTCTTTTCTTTTCTTTCCTTCCTTTTTTTTTTTGTTTGGGCCACATACTACCTGAGTAGTCTCAGGGGCTACTCCAGGTGCTCTGGGGTTATTCCCAGTAATATTGGAGCAACACCAGGGCTGGAACCTGGGGTGTCCTCTATACAAGGCTCACAGGCAGCCTACTGAGCCTTCTGTCAGCCCTCAAGCGGTTGGTTTTCAAAGGAGAAGGTAAACAGAAAAGTTGAAAGCCAATTGGGATGGTGGAGAGAGAAGGCCACCTGATGGCCTGGGAAGTTTCTTGCTCACTCTCCCAGCTCAGTTTTGCTCCTGGACTGTGAGTGAAAGCCAGATCATCCAAGTTGAGCAGTAAGGAGGTAATAGAAGCAGAGCAGTTTGTAATTTTCTCAACTGTGTGCTGCTCAGGCTACCACACCAAAATGCTCTGTGCTGGGTGATTTAAATAACAAAAATACATTTTCTCAGCGTTATGGAGGCTGCAAGTCCAAGATCAAAGTACCTGTAACTGCAGGAGTCTGAGCAGCTCCTTTTTTGGGCCTCATTCTCACTGTAGCCCCCTATGGAAAGTGTAGGTTAAGTTCTGATGTTTCTTGCCCAATTCAATAAGCTTAATCAATGTCAATAGCTGAATAAATAGCAGTACTCCTACATTTAAAAAAAATCTGATGTCCCTCCCCCTTTTTCTAAGGGTATCAGCTTCTCAAATCAGGGTCCCTCTCAAGACCTTGATTTAATTTTCTAGAGAAGGTGCAGTTCCCAAATATGTCACCTACAAATTTGGGACACAAATATTTGTTTCATGATAACTCTTTATGATAACTTCCGTTTCATGATAACTTCCATTTCATGATAACTTCCGTTTGACCAGGAGCTGGAGTGATAGTATAGGGATTAAGGAATATATATGTCTTTTAATGGTACAGATTCAATCCCTGGTACTATCTTATCCCCAAGTTTTGCTAGCTACAGCCCTGGAGGTGCACCAACAGGTAACCTCCAATACCTCAGGGCCCTAGAGGCACCATGTCCTTCGCTTCTCCCTTGAATTAAACAATATACCAGTTGGCTACAAATCTCCCAGAAGGGAACTGGGTACCACTTGGAAGTCACTGTTCTCCCCCCGACATACACCACCAAAAATTTTTTTAAACAGAAATAAGGAGGACATTTGAGGGGTAGGGCAATTAAATACTAAAACAGATATGAATATATTAGTAGGACAGGCCGGACAAGAGGCAGCCATGAGAACAGCTTGAAAGTTGGGCATGACTGGCATTTTATGTGATCAAGAGAGTCAGACCTAAATGTAATTCTGCAACCATGATTCAGGCAGGTAGCAAGCTAAGTGATGGCTGCAGATGGACTCCTAGAATCCCCTCAATAGCCTCCCAACAGACCAGGGTGACCTCTCAGCAGGCTAGAGCACATGCTTTGCACATTGAATCCTGGGCTCAATTCCTGATACTGCTTGGATTCCCAAACACCCCTAGGCACTGTTAGATGTGACCCAAAAAATCAATATCTTCATGGGATGCAGAGTATCTCCCTCTTTCCAAGGTGAGGAGATAGGAATGAGCATCAGTCCTACCATTTGAAGGCAGATGTTTTTTTCCCCCATTCTCTTGTGCACAGCCTTCTCATACCCCTGAGTGATGATTTCTATCATTTTTCAGGAGACTAGGTAGCTCAGGGTTCTCTCTCCCAAAAAATCAGGATGGAAATGTTAGACCTTTTACCAGATTTTTTTCTTCTCTCATTTTTTTTCTTCTCATTTCTTCATGGCCCTTCAGTCCTATGAGTTGGAGAAGTTGTTACTTCTTTCTTTAAAAGAAAAGGGAATTTTCCTTGGGAGAATTGTCTTAGTGTTTTAGAGAGCTATGAAAACATTCTGTCCATCGTACCTTGTAACACTAATCCCAATAGAAACACTGGGAGTGTCTGATTCCCCTTCCTTTGTCTCCCAGGGTCCCTATGCTTCCCTCTCCTTGCTGGAGTGGATCATGCACCTGAACGCACAGAGCACCTGCCTCTCTGTTCCCAAATGGGAACAGCATTTGGACCTGTCTACGAGGCACCTGGAAGCAGCCTCAGAACCTGTCCACAGGGTCACCTGGGTATGGCCTCAGGTCCTGACCACAGGGGCACCTGGGAGCAGGCTTTTAGATCTTGCAACCAGGAAGGTTATCGGCAATAGTTCATGGAGGCACATTATAACTAGCCTTCTAACTAGCCACTTTGTAAAGTACAGGGGTTTGCAGACACCTTTAGGCTTATATTTCTCAACCAGCTGCTGTATGGACTCCTATGGACCCCCAGCATATTTCAAAGAAGCTACAGGTGAAGAAAATGTAAATAGGGTGTCAGAGCATGAGATTGGGGAGCCAACAGGTAAGACAGGGGACATCGCAGGAAGGAAAGGAGGTTGGAAGGGGGCCACAGTCAGCAAAAGTTAGAGAAGCACCACACTAGACAACTGCACCCTAGTCTGGAAATAACCACATTTAGTGCCTTGCTCCTTCATTGGGCAATGCAGTGTCTCTCTTTTTCCCTCCCTTCCTTTCTTTCCTTCTCTTCTCTCTCTCCTAATCCCCCAAAAGTCCAACCATGTTTTGGGGAGTCACAATCTATGAGCCCATTTTACATCCAGTAGAATAGGACTGACAAATCCAACCAAGTGATTTCAATTTGGTTTGAGTAATATAGGAAATGAATTCAGACCTGAGAAATCATGGTGGAACAGACCCACTCAGGAGAAGACATTCCAGGACTGTGAATGGCAGAGAGAACCTGCTGCTAACCTCACCGCACAGAGCCCCAGACACCCTTCCTCATCCTTCAGAGAGATTCCAGGCTGCCAAAAGGTACCACATGGGAAAGGGGATACTTCAGATAACAGTTGTTCCCATAAGTCAGATCATAACACAGAGTTATAGAATTGAGAGATGCATAAATTCCCAGAGACTAGCAGGTATTTACATTGGGGGAAGGGGGTCATACTCAGCAGTGCTCAGAGCTGACTCCTAGTTCTGAACTCAGGGATCACTCCTGGGGAACCATTTGGGGTGCTGAGGATCAAACCCCAGGTTGACTGCATGCAAGGCAAAGACCTTACCTGCTGTATTTTCACTCCAGTCCCAGTAGGTATTTAATTTTTGAGCAGGTGTTCACTTAATGGGCTGGAGTGATAGCACAGCGGGTAGGGCATTTGCCTTGCACATGGCCGACCTGAATTCAATTCCTCTGCCCCTCTCGGAGAGCCCAGCAAGCTACCAAGAGTATCTCGCCTGCAGGGCAAAGCCTGGCAAGCTACCCGTGACATATTCGATATGCCAAAAATAGTAACAAGTCTCACAATTTGTTGTGAGAAGTTACTGGTGCCCACTTGAGCAAATCGATGAACAATGGGAAGATAGCGCTACAGTGCTACAGTTCACTTAATCAAGCACACTGAGATGACCCATGACAAGGAAACAAGAAAGTCTTTATTACACTGGCCAGTGGTCCTAGGCTAGGCAGGCACCTAAAAATCAGGGGGCCAAGAGCCTGTTATTATAGGGCGTAACTGCAAACTCATCATTACTTTGCTTCATGCTCAAGCAATGCGGGAAAGCACACTCATGATGGCATCTTATCAGTATGGTTACAGAGAATTTCCTATAATCAGCAATTTTTTAGCTTGGAACAGGGAAGTTCATCCCAAGTGCAGACAAGGTGAGCAACTTTTCAAACTTTCTACCCTTGAGCAAAATAATTTATTTAAAGTACATTCTATAAATCAATTATAAAACCAAATATAAATGTAATAAATTTCCATCATAACAAGACCATTGTATGATGACCTTGTATGAAGTCTGAGAAGGTTCAGCACCTTCCAGTATATTCCATTCTAGGAAGGAGAGCCAACAGGTCTTAATGTCAGCCTCTTCCCCCTCTCCCTCTCATTTTTTCCCTTCCCTTCCTTCTCTTCTCCTTGTATTTTTAAAACTCAAAAGAGGATAGAAAACAAAAAATATGGACATGGATCTCTAAAGTTTTCACGTCTATCTTAAATGGCAGGGCCCAGGATGGCTTTCCCCTGTTAGACAAGGGTTTTGTAATAGCAAGTTTGGAATTCTAGGTGAGCCCTGGCCCCTGCAGAGCCATATCTGCCCTTCAGGAGAGCCCCCAGGACGTCTTGCTCTCCTTTCACCTTGGCAGGAAAAGAGGGAGGCTTGTATTCTGTAGTAACACAACTCCTCTGGATATTTTATGGAAGCCTACCCGTGACATTCCTTTTTAATTCTGGCAAATTTAGAAGAGGGGTTAAAAACCCACAGGCAAAGCAACTCTACTGCTCTCATTCATGTGACCAATGGCAAGAGTTCAGGCATCCCCCATCCACATTTCCCAGGTGTGGACGTAAGTAAGGGCTGAACAGACACGACTTGTCAAGTGGCCCCTGGGGAGGTAGGTCACTTCAGTTCAGGGAGGCACAGAGAGACGCAGGAATCACACTGGGCCAGGCCGTAGGGTTTGTTGTGCCAGCCTTGGGTGGGGGATGTGAGGAAGTAGTAATGCTGGAAGCAGGATAGGCACGGGCCTCAGAACGAACACCCAACACAAACCTCGAGTGCTCCTAGCCCCAGGAACTCGCGAGAATCCAGGTCCCATCACGTTTCTGTTCTCTTGTCAGAGGCCCAGAGGCTTTCGTGTCGATTCAACTAGAGAAGGTGGGGCTGCGAGATGCGATGCTGACCGCCTTCCTCCTCCGGAAATCATCAGCAGGGGACAAGATACAGAACCCCGTGAGTGTTCCAGGAGGAACTATAAAAGCCCCTAGCTGGCTCTTGCACCTCTCAGAATAGCCAACTTCTCCACATGGTGTCGATGGCTTCTGGTTTGGATAGGACGATTGAAATTATAAAGAATTAAAATGTTTCAGTAAAAACTGGAAAAGGCCATTGAAATGCATTGTAATATGGTTTCTTTCTTTTTCTTCTTCTTCTCTCTCTCTCTTTCTCTCTCTTTTTTAAAATTTATTTTTAAGTGGAATCATTAGGAAATACAGAGTTACAAAGTTGTTCATGATTGAGTTTCAGTTGTACAATGTTCTAAACTTAATGGATCCCTTTTAATTAGTAATTCTCAAAAAGGCATTGATCAAGTCAAAAACACAACTGCTCATTTAATGGCCTTCCAGGAACATTCAACACCTATCCTATTAGAAAAGAGATTAGTCATGTCAGGGTTGTGAAGGTCTAGGATTTTACCTACTTCTCAGCTCCTGAGTTAAGCTGTCACTGTTCTGTGGATGATGGCAGCATAGTCCAGACTCCTGGCTCAGGACTAAACCTGATTGTTTACAGCAGAGTGAATTGCTACTGCCCTATAATACTGATTGCCTCAAAGGCAACATGAAGGATCTCAGGGCCCTTGGTGGGGTTGAATAACTTCTTGTAAAGCAAGACTTTTCTTTTCCTGGAGGGAGAGTGCAACCCAAACCCAGGACTCTCTGCAAACAGCACCCAAGAAGCCCACGTGCAGAGTTGGTCTGGGTCCTACCTTCTGGGCATGCCCAAGAGTCTGTGTAGGAGAAGGAGAGACCCAGGGACTTGAATTCCCAACAAGGGGAACTTTAGGAGGAATAACTCAATAATGCTTGAAGTTGGCATTGAGTTGGCAGTCAGGCTGGGAAGTTCTGACTGCCAACCATCATTCTCTTTTACCACAGGACGAAATTGGGAAAATCAAGAGAGATGTGATAATTGAATATTGTCAGAAGTAAGTAGAGTGATGTGACCCACACAAGCTGCTTTCCCTGGCCCTGAATTCAATAATAAAATTTTACTTAATAAATACTGTAGAAATCCAACATGTCAGCGAGATTATGTTTAAACAAGTCCCAGACCTATTGGTTAAGACCAAATGTATTCTCCACCAATTCACAGAGAAGCAATGGAAGCAGAGACCAGGCATTTCTGTGCCAGATGCATGGCTCAGTGGTAGAGCCCCTGCCATTTTTAGCCATGGTGCGCACAAGACTGACATAGTGGGGTGTGGTGCTCACACACTCAGCTGTGGCACTCTCCAAGTTTTTCCCTCCTTCAGTTTTGTGGTGCTTGCACACTTGCTGACTGGGGTCTCGAATTCTGTGTTGAGAAATAGTTACAGTTGTGGAGTTTGCTCAGGGCTGCTTCAGTGTTTGGACACTTACTCACCCCAGGCCACACTTCCAAACCATGGCATTCATCTTTCATTGAGGTGCCCCTGGAGATTATGCACTTGTGGGACACCGAGGACTTGAATTTGTGACCATATGCTTGCAAGGCAGGTGCTCTGAGCACCGTGTGCTATTTCTCTAGGTCCCTAGAATCTCTTGTTGTTGAGGCACTACCAAATGGTATTTGGGGACTACTCCTGGATTGGTGCTTAGGGGTCATTCCCTGGCAATGCTCAGGGGACCATCCAGTCCTAGGAATCAAACCTGGGCCCATATGCAAAACATAAGCACTAGCCCTTTGAACTTGCTCCCTGGCCATGTATTCTCTTTGGAAAGTCTTCCCGTGGAGTAGATGGGGAAAACTTTGTGAGAGATGGAATGAACCGTTTGGAGTCCCTTTCAAAGCACCTTATCTTCTGACTCTGCAGATTAACCCACCGTATGTCTCACCATGCACTTCGAGGTCAAATCCTGGTGTACTGCAACAGCCTGAGAGCCCTGCTGGCCGATTTCCCTGCTGTTAGGGACACCTTCTTCATGATGGGGCACCCACAAGAGAAAAAGGCATTGGGGGACTCCACGGAGGGATTTGAGGCTAACCCCAGGTAGGTAATTTCCCTGTTAGCTGCCCTCCCTGGTGTTACTTCATCCCAGGGGAGAGAGCTAAAGTAAGACTGGGATGAAAATCTTGTTCTCTCTTTCTTCTGTATTTGACCTTGAGCTTCTTTGGGTCCTAAAGAGCAAAAGGGAACATTAATGCTCCCAGAATAAGAGCACCTTTGTACTTGAACCTAGAAGGCGTTCTTTGTCTAGGGTCTGTGGGGCTGCTTTTTCAGTTTATGAAGAGCTGTTTCCCTGAGAGCCCAGGGATATTCATCAGTCATGCCCTTCAACCATAAGCCAGCACCTAAAAAAAAAAAAAAAGCAAACAAATTACTAAGCTTGACCTTGAGCTGTCCTGGCTTCAGATCATTTACTTGGTAGAGAAGAAGAAATATTCAGTGGGGGTGGGAAATGGTACATCCGTGCCCAAGATAAGTCAGTGCCCTATATTTGTCTCATAGGAGAAAAAAAGAGAGAGAGGCCTCGTGATATGCAGTGATTAGAGCAAAGCTGCTTCCATACTTCCTTCTCAGGCTTCATTCCACTTTCCAAATGTTCTTCACTCAGCCCATTAGTGTTCACTCACCTGCTTGCCTTTGCATTCAGTGGCCAGTTCTTAAAAAAAGAAAGTAATAAGGGAACGTTACATATTACTGTGGTCTCTAGGGAGAAGTAAAACAATCCCATGGGGTGAACTTATCTGAATTTTTCCTTTGCCTTCTTACAGCATGAAGCTGAGTACTGAATACCAGTAGGACTGTTAATATGATCAGAAAATAGAGGGAAGGGGCTTGAGGGACCTTGAAAGTAATCTGGACAAGAAAGACAAAAGGGAGGAGTGAGTGAGGAAGAATGACCATTCTTGCATCAGACACCCTTGCTTACTTGCTCCTTCATGTGGCCCCTATAGTCCAGTGCTTTTGTAATCACGAAGAAGATCCACAGCTCCTTGAGGGCCAACCAGCAAAGTCACTCAGTGACAGGTAGAAAAAGAGCTTCATTGGCAACAAGTCAGCAGATTAGAGATGGCAGATTCACGTCCCCTCTTCCACCCCCCCCCCCCCCAAATCTTGCCAGTCACAGGAAAGTTTTATAGGGATAGAAAGAGCAGGGAAACATGTATTCAGGAAGGGTGGGTGGCAGAATGATCAATAACTTCCTCCCTGGGCTGATCCCTGAAGACACACTTCCAGTGTAACGGCAGATGGAGTTCTGATGGAAGCTTCCAGCCTCTAATCCTGTAGAACAAGATAAGGGGGATTTTCTAGACATTGTCAGCTCTCCCTGCCCAAGCAGAGTTTCTGGTGCTGATACTGAATTCAGCTCTTCATTTCTTTAGACTTGTCTCACGTTCTCAGTACCAGGCTCTTGGTTGCATGCTGATTAACAAAGGTGAATAAGCCTTTCAGTTCAGCAACATGTGCAGTGTAGTAAATGTTTGTCTCTGTAGATGAACAAATCACTCCAAAAATTTCAAATATTATGAGTTTGTGGAAGCAAAAAAAGGGTGTTTCTAACTGAGGGACTGGGGGTGGGTGGGGAGGGTCATGAGGCATTTAAAGATGAGATAACAAAGAAGCTGGCATTCACCTAGAAGACAGGAACGAAAAAACGGTTCATAAAAGGCCAGAGTAGTAGTTCACAGCAGCCATCGGTCCCCCCCCCCCCAAGTTTCCTCCAACTGATGAAATAAGTAATACCAATTAAAGATTGAAAGTTGAAATCTTGGGTCACAGTTAACTCAATGAACTGGAGCACGTGCTTTGCATTTAGGAGGCCCAGATCTGATCCCCGGTACCACACGTTTCACTGAGCACTATCAGGAGCAACCCTCAGTACTGAATTGGAAGTTGCTCCTGAGAACTGCTGGGTATGGTCCCCAACAAAACACAAACAAGAAAAACGTTGATAGGACCTGAATGGTAGGACAGTGGGTAGGTGTTTGCCTTGTACACAGCTGATCTGAGTTCCATTGCTGGCATCCCATATAACCCCTAAGCACTACCAGGAGTGATCCCTGAGCAGACAGCCAGGAAAAACCCGGAGCATTGCTGAATGTGGCCCAAATACAAGCAAAAGAAAGAAAGGAGTTGAGTTCTTAACTCTTCACTAATTACTGACTGTGAAAACAGTGACTAGTCCTGCTGATTCCTGAAAAGTGTCCAATTGATGAGAAGTGTTGCTCAGTTTCCTGAGTTCAGTCAGTTTAACTTCAGTATTCACATCATAGAAGACTGGATTTGAGAAAGGAGAGGCACTGATGCCTTCATCAGCTAACTGTCTTGTGGAAGGGTTTGGCTGGATTATGGTTGCTTGATGGGACTGAAGAGCATCTCTCTAACACACAAACAGGCCTTGCATATTTCTCTAAGGCTTCCTAGTTACATGATCTCACTCACCCACTAGCCAACACAACTATTTATAAACCCAATCTCCATTTAGCATCAAAAAGTTGTTTCCAGAAGTCTAACCTCCAGCTTATTACGTTTGTGCTCAGGATAAAATGTATTTGGAAAGTCTAATTTTGTTCCTGAACTGTTTTATTTGCAGCAACCAAATAAAGAAAGCAGGAAGTAGAAGTGGGACGGTGTGTGTATGTGCGGAGCGAGGAGGAGGGGCAGGAGGGAAGATGTAGGGAGGCAGGGAATCTTTTCGACTAGCTGGTCTTGGTCTAGTTCTTTATTTTTTGTGTAGGTGGAAAAACAGTCATTTAAGGTGGAGAGTCCAGACCCCTAAATCATCCAGTAAGTTAATGTGTGATAATTTCAGGGTAAGACTTTGGGCCAGGAAAGTGTGAGCAAAGTGAGGGCCCACCCAGAGCTCAAAGCAGGCAGCCAGGCACTGCAGGAGCTGGAGTTGACCCAAATCGAGGGTTCCTCCTCCACATCACCTCCTGCTCTCTAAGCTCTGTAGGGTTCTACACACCTCTCCAACTCCCATAAACTGAATCATAGAGAAAGAAACTTCTGTCTACCATGAAAATTTGGAAGTGGTACCACAGAAAAATTCTTTCTAAGGCCAAAGTCCTTGAACTGACTATTAATAAAAATTGAACTTCAGCCACAGGAAGGGGTAATAGAGAGAGTCATGCGTTCTGAGTTTGGATATTGAGACATTCCCCAGCTCAGTTATGTGCAGTCTCAGGCAAAGTATTTCCCTCCCATCTCTGATCCCCATCTCTTCCTCATAGTGTATGAAGAAATTGAAACAGCACTCTGAAGTTCCACATGCTATGCTTCTTAGTGCTTGTATATCTACAGTTTGATTCCAATGAATTGGGAACAGGGGGAAGAAAGTGCTGAGAAAGGAATTCCTGGGAAAGGGTCACTGAAGAGTGTTCATGAAATGATCCATAGAAATTATCCCAAGCGAAGGTTAACTAGAGACTAAAGGGTAGAGCGGGGGAAAACGGGTCATGGAAAACAGGTGGTTCTCCTCATTCTTAAAATTAGGAGTTTCAATATACCCAGGGTAGGAAATAAGCTTAATTTATAGTGTCAGTTCCAACAATGCGCTAGTGCCCTGAAGAGGACTCTGAGACATCCCAAACTTGTGAGAATGTTACATGTGATGACAATCTGCCATGGTCAAGGAAAGAGGGAGCAGGGTTTCTCTGCTCTGCACTTGCCATCCTCCACTAGGAAGAGCATGAAACTGGAAGATATCTAAGTGTAGGCTTTGTACACAGGAGGCCTGGTCTCCATCCAGAGTACCCGTGGTACCCACGCAGCGTTAGGAGTAGCCCCAGGGTGGTGGCCCCAAAACCAAAGGGGGAAAAGATAAAATCAACTTGAGGGGCCAGAGAGATAGTACTTTGGGTAAGGTGCATGCCTTGTACTTGGCCAACCCAGATTCTAATCTAGGCACCTCATATGGTCCCCTGAGCACCACCAGTAGTGATTTCTGAGTGATGAGCTAAGAGTAAGGCCTGAACACTGCAGGATGTGGCCCCAAAGCATAAAAAAACCCAAAATCCAAAATCAAATAAAATCAGAAGATGCTATAAATCCTGACAAGGCCATAGAGCACTGTGTCTAGTTTAAGCAGGGAACTGTCCCTCAACCTATCTAGCATGAGGAGCCCAGAGGAACTCTCCTTTCGAGAAGTTTTCAGGGACTCCACATCTATCACAGTTTCAGAAAGAACTAGAAACTAGAAGGATACTATACTCCATTCAGGCAATACAGAGAAGACAGTAATGTTAAGTGCATGCTGACCAGACCATGTGGCATGCTATAGCTTTCAAGGCTAGCATTTTCCATGGCCAGGACAGCCCCATAGCAGACTGCGGAGTTTTGGCAAGTGAGGTAGAGCCTGGATCTTGGCCACTGTTAGACACCTGAGGGCACAGCTTGAACAACTGTACATGGCAGTCATGATTCCAGGCTCCTAATAGCAATGGATTTGACATAGTTCTTATCCTCCATGAAAGAGGAAGGAGATAAGGAGAGTACATGTGACAGTGAATAACTGTATAATCAAAGTGCCCACCAGGATATACTCATTGTTTTTTGAAAACCTTGGTGGGGTGGCAATAAAGAAGCAAACCTCAGGGAAGAAGGGGCGCCTAACCTGGGTGTTGAAGAGGACTGGTTTTTCAGGTGTGCAAGAGAAAGTTTAGTCTAACCTGGGAAGTCTTCATGTGCTCATGCACTGTGTGGTGAGACAGAGTGGACTTCTGAGTGGTTTCTTCCCAGGTCATGAGAGGAGCTCCAGGAAGTAGAATGGAGAGAGTGATGGGCATGAACGGAGCCTGGGCTTTGTTGTTCAACAGACAGGGTGGTTGTTGGTCCTAACCACAGAGAATGATGCAAATGCCATAGACAGGAGGTGAGATAAGCATGGTGCTGGTTTCATGCAGGGCTACAGAGGAGCAGACT